CTAAATCCCACAGCAATACTTGAGAAACTGTTGGGGGGGGGGCAATACTGACGAGAAATCTTTCTGGTATTTGTAGCAGAACTTGCGAAAGGGAATGGCTCAGTATTCAACTTTTTTTTCGGTAAAAGGACGTCCGAGTTCCAGAGCTAGGGAAATATTAGGTCATAGCGGAGTTCTCGTCAAAATTCATTCCAAATCGAACTTGAGTTCATGGCGTATTTTGAAATGTAGGGCGCTGTTCGGCTTTGGAGGGGTATTTTGCAGTTTTGCTGGTTTCTTTTAGTTCCTGTTGAATTATACGTGTCACCTCGATTTGTAAACTCCTGTCAACTGTGCAGGAAGCAAATGCTCTTGTATAGCTCACAGGAATTTACAGGTTTCCACTGGAGGCATCCGCAGTGATCGATGAGAACCAACCAAGTGCCCCCACCAAGCCGAATGGCCGAATCCTATATTTTCATGCATTCATTATCGCGAAGGAAACGTCATTACAGTTCTTATTGGCGATGTTCCCGGCGGCCGTAGCGAGCGCTATGCAGCCGATAAACAGTCCAATCCAGACTATGCAGTTTTTGCGGTTCTATGCGGTTAATATCCCTTACCTCAAACCTTGGCTATAAAAGCCCGCCGATTAGCTTCCAAAATCCATCGTCTTCCCAAAATGACCACTGCCGGCTATGTGGGAGCTGGCATCTGCCTATTCGGTGTGATGTGCGCTTTGATCAGCGTTGGTCAGATCGCCAACGACATCGCCTCCCTTCGCGATGAAGTCAACGTTGGTCTGGAAGAATTCCGTCTGATCGCTGAGGACACCTGGGATCGCCTTCTCATCCTGCAAAGTCCTACTGGCCATTCCGTTAATGCCATGCCGAGCATCTTCCGTGCCAAACGTTACGTCTATCCTGGACACTGTAATTGCCAGGAGAACAATCAGGGATGCCCACCGGGACCTGCTGGACCTCCAGGACCACCTGGTCCACGAGGAGAAGAGGGTCTCGCTGGTGTTGATGGAAGAGCTGGAGCCAATGGAAATTCACTTGGTGTTATTCACGATGAACCTGGTGGTAAGTGTATACTTCCCTAAGAAACATTGTTTACATTCTACTGGTAATTAACTTCAGGTTGCATCAAATGCCCGGCTGGACCTCGTGGACAGCCAGGAGAACCTGGACTAGAGGGGCAGAGGGGCTTCCCCGGTGCACCTGGCAAGATTGGACCACCTGGAGGCGACGGAACCCCAGGACCTGCTGGAGAGCCTGGAGATCAGGGACTACCAGGCAAACCTGGATTTGATGGAACCACTGGACCAGATGGTATGCCTGGTACTACGTCGTTCCCCGGAGCTCCTGGACAGCCCGGTGAACCGGGATGGGCTGGAGAAATGGGTCCACCCGGAAAGGCTGGTGAGCCTGGTCTCGATGGAAATCCTGGATCACCTGGAACTCCTGGACTTCCCGGAAATGCTGGTCATGACGCCTTCCCAGGAATGCCTGGACCCAGTGGACCCGACGGAAAGGTTGGAGAGGACGCGAACTACTGCAACTGCCCACAACGTCGGGAGTCGGCTGATGTGGTTACACCACCTCGTGGTGGGGGTTACCGCAACCGTCGTCTCTAAGGACTTAAACCGATCGATAATTGATTGCTCGGCACAGTTCTGTGCACATTCGATATGTACGAGAATAAATACACGATTTTCCGAAATTTGACTCATACAGAAGAATTGTTCCTGATTAGTAGATCTGTGACCGTTCTCTAGAAAACATGTAATTGTGCGAAATGTGGGAGACCGGAACTCGAACGCCTTCCTTGGACGGCAGAGCGGGCGGGGGGTTTGTGCTGCGGCAGTGCGGCGTCACGTGCGCGCCCGTCCAGCAGGACCTAACTGATTTGACGTGCAAGCGCCGGTAAACCAAATTTTATATGAGGAGATTTCGCCCGGATTAAGATTCTTTGAACCGTACCCCTTCGTTAGATACTGAAGGTATTTGAGCGGCTCGCGGCGGCCCTGCGTATAATCTTGTTCACTGCGAGCGAAGCTGGGCGTGACGGGGCTGGGCTTGGCGCGAAGCCAGCTTGTTTTCCACCGATTATTCGCTCATTTCAGCAATTCGCGAGGAAGGGGCTAGCGCCGCGGCAAGCCCGTATCCCCTGGCATGCCCCAGCTAGACCACGTCGCACGCTGAATGATTCCATTCCCAGAGGGGATCGTATTTGGTCGCCGGCGGGAGTGTGTGGCGTCGTCTACTTCATTAGGTTATTCGGATAAGGGTCAGAAGGTCCTGTTGGCTCCCAGAAATATGACCAGCTAGTTCATATTTCTGGGAGCCAACAGGACCTTCTGACCCTTATCCGAATACGCGGAGGATCCAGAAGCTGCTCACAATCCAGGCTAATCGAATCTGTTGTGATACGCCATGCATCTGGGTTCTGTCCGATGTCCGATATAGTAGAGACGATCGATCCTCCTATACATTCTGCAAATGTATGCTTCGTTCAAAGCAAATTTGACGAGCAGTATTTAATTTTCAAATATTTTTATTTGGAGTTATTTATATTACAGTACAAACAAAAAAACTGGGTATCTATCCAAGGGTCATAAATGACCCACAAAAACACATACAACCGTATTTGAAGGCACGAGAATAGTACCATTCTGAGGCAACATAAAGCTCTGGGTCTAGTTATGAGCGGCCATTTGGGCCTTGGCAGGAGTACTTACGGTCACTACTCCTACTCCTTGAACGCATAGGCCGCGCTGATCGTGTGGGCGGAGACGACCACTGTGTCACCCGCGGAAGACGCAATGGCTTGCGTCCCTCTCACCTCTCCGCCCATCCAATCATCGCGGAGCGTTCTTTTAAATACATTCAATGGATTGTATACAATATCAGATAACAGACTGAAGGGGATTTTCGAGGAAAACAATCTAACAGTAACTGACGACGCCTACAAAATTGTACTCGGACAATATATGGGAGGAGATTCTCGAAGCGGCAGAGTACAGGCAGTCAGAGTAGGTCAGAGACGCAGGAGGGGAATACTGTACATGGCAAGAATTCATGAACGATATCCGCTAGACACCGGAGGTGGCAATCGTATTGAAGAGGCGAATCTTCTCGCATGTGTCGCGAACCACCCACGTGCAAGCGATGTCCGCAGTACGTGAAATTGCGTACTGAGCACAACAGGCCGCGTTGCCGTTCAAGATACGGTTCTGCCGAGAGAACTGAAAACCTTCAGGGTTACTGCAATAATTTGAGCAATTCAAGACACTAAAGAAGTTCTTTCTCATTTCAAAATAGAATTGTGGGAAACTCCGCCCCTAGCGAGTAGCTCCGCTCAAAATCTCTCTGTGCAGCAGGACTAACTAGCTTAAGGTTTGGCGCTACTTAAAAAGCCACAGCAAAGCTAATTCACGCTTATTTTGATGTGTTCCCTAGGGCGAGCTCTTCCTGCGACGTCTAGTCCCTAGGAATGACTCCTAATTTCCTCCCAAGTGTGGGCAGCTGGAGGTGAAAAGCTGTGGAAGGCACTGTTCCTTGGCAGCGCAAGTCGAGATGCTTCTACGGATCTCAAACATTGATCACATCGAAAAATGGGGCGGGGGCGGGAGAAATGCATGGCTTATACCAAACAGGGCTCCATAAACGAAGATTGCGTTATCCATCATATCCTCTTCTTATAAATTGATCTCACCTTGAAAACGG